CATTGGTTATGCTTATATGCATGCATACAAGTCCTTCGGTTGATCTTTTACCTCCCCCCCGCCCCCAACACTCCCCAGCCTTCCCGCTGTAATTTGACAGTCTGTTCCATGCGTCTCTGCCTCTGTATCTATCTTTTTTGTTCATCAGGTTATAATGATATATTCTTAAAAGCGCTTTGTTTCTTTCCCATTGACTGGCAGTTTGAGTTGGGTTTCCGTGGCTTTGATTCACACGGGATCATCCACACTGAGTGTCTTTACCCCGACCTTCTCCAGCCCCAGGAGATGGCTCCGGGCCTCCCACTGTGTTTGAAAGGGACCCTGGAAACCACGAACAGCGTAGCTTTCCTGCCGGCTGCTCAACTGCACGCTGAGGGCTCGTGCCTCACATTTGCCTTCGGTCCCCCAAGTGCTCCGTCCCCCGTGGGTCACTGCGGGCGCAGACGCTCGGGGTGCACGAACCACCCGGCAGGGAGACCTCATGATGGGGCCTGAGACCGATGGTTGTGTCCCTCCATCGTCCGTGACTCCTCAACCCTGTGAGGGGCTCGGCTGGGAGAGCTGTGGAGTTAGGTCAGAGGTGTAGCAGAAGTCAGTGGTGGGTCGGGATTTGAATCCAGAACCATCTGTGGGTTCTCTCTCGGGTCTACGTGTCTTCACACAGACCCGTGGATCCCTGCCTGTGCTGGTCTGTTTGTAGATGGAAAGGTGGTCATGCTGAAGGTAGTGTGTTTCCAGGAGGAGGGGGCACATTCCTAACGTCAGCGAACACGAGAGCCCCGGCTTATCGGGCGCCTCTGACGTGCCAGGTGCAGAGCGAGTGCCCTGCATTCCTTCCCCGACACGTGCCCGCAGCCCTGCCAGTGGGGGCTGCTGCTCTCTCTCCTCCTGACACGCAGGCAGGTCACCGATGTCCAAGGTCTCGGAATGGAATGTGGGCCAAACTTCTACCTTATGTTCCTTAGGGAGACTTCTGAAATGTTGCTCTTGTTTTTTTTCTTTAAAGGGACCTTGGGCCCGAGGGTAAGTGTGACGACCCTTGCTGATGCATAATCCACATCCCATGTAATGTTTTACAGACGCTCTACGGGACCCGAGCCCGCAGCTGCGCGCCTGCCCCCTGGGCACCGCCGCCTGCCTGGTGCGAGGGAGCCAGGCCTTCGACGTGGGCCAGCCCAAGGAGGGGCTGAAGCTGGTGAGCAAGGACAGGTCAGTGTGCGCGGGGCGGCTGCCTCCTCAGCAGGAGCCTGGCTTTGTAGTTTGCTGCAAGATAATGCTTGCAAAACGATGGCTTCCCACATGCTTGCAAAACCACCAGTCATCGCGGTGAGTCACCGAGGCTGCCTGACTCCTAATCACTTGTCTCCAGAGCTGTGAGACGTGGGTCGGGATGAGCCGCACAGGGCTGCCTCGTGACAGCTTCGTGTGACAGCTCCCTGCAGGTGTGTCTGACGTTGGCCATGGCAGGGCCCTGGTGAAGTTCACTGTTTCCTCCTTATCTGCTCTTTAGAGACACAATCCTGCAGGGAGAGGGCAGGAAGGGCAGTTTGCTGGCTCCCTTCCAGGGCGCGGGGCCTGCTTCCTGCCGGGGGGCCG